CGTCACGGGTCTCCACGGGAACAAGAAAGCAGCACCCGCTGCAACGCGCCACACCGCCGAAAACCCACTGGCCAGGCCTTAAATACCCGCGATGGTACTTGTGCCGACCGAACATACTCTCGTCTGGTTCTACAGTCACGCCGTCGCCACCAATCATGTCTGAATGCTTAAAGACGGTATTTAGCACAACCTCCCGACAAAGGCTCGCCCAATCAGTTATTGTCTTACTTGCGATATCAGCCTCCCGCTGAATGACGGCGCACGGTAGGTTCTGGCATCCGGAGGATGATTTTCATGAGTTGGAGAAGCGTCAGGTGGGTGCGATCCTTCGAAAAGGGAACCGCTTCGTATCGAGACTTCGCCCCGGCACTGAACTTTGACCGACTTCCTCTTGGGCACCTCACGAATCATCCACACACCGCACCCCCCCCCCCCCCCCCTTTCCCCCCCGTGTAGCCATCCGCAGATCTAGCGCGGACTTGCAGCTTGTCATCGCAGCTTCGCACTCTGGACACGCACGAAAACCCAGGAGCCAGGAGCAGGCCAACGCGCTAAAGCAAATTAATTGCTTCAAGAGGGTCTTTCATGGCGCCAAGAAGACGGCACAAGTTGAACACCATGGCACTGCGATGCTCGCCTCTGGAAGAACAAAGCACAAAGCGCCGAGGGGGAACTGCGCGCTTCTTTGCATTTATTATATTTATTTCATCCGCCATTTTATACCTCGTGACACAATTCTAACAAACTCATTGGTTGATCGGTCGGACCACACCATCGCGTGACAAAAAAAAAAAAAAAAAAAAAAAAAAAAAACGCCAAACGTATGTTTACGGACGGCATCGTCACGGAGAAGGGAGCAGTCGAACCCAACAACAAAATGAAGTAACAAAGTAAATAAAAATAAAAAAAATAAGAAGGGAGCCGTTGGAGTTTCGGACGGCGTCTTCTTTGATGAGAGGAGCTGCTCTGGCCAGAGCGGCCAGAGCAGCCGTGCTGCTCTGGTTGCTCGGAATATTCCTTTTTTATTATTTTTCTTACTCTACTGGGTGCCACGACCCTTATTTGAAGCTGATTTGTTAAAATAATAACAAACAACGCGTTGGAACGGAGGAGGTAGAGAGTCTTGGCGTCAGAATTTGACGTGGTAGAAAAGAAAAGAAAATAACGAATGCACAATACATACCGTATGCCAAGACCGTTATACTCCGCACTTGGCGAGGCCTTATGACGCAGCCGGCGACCGTAAGGCTATTTATTTTGTTTCTTTAGATTTGTTATCGTGACGACTACTCCAGTGTGCCTCGGAGTCTCCAGCGGAGATCGGGCATGCTGGTTTTAGTAATTATTATTGTCGTTTTGAAGGGCACTCTTTCTATGCTGCTTCGTTCCTGACGCCATAAAAATATTATTTCTGTTTAGATTATAGGCGCGAAAAATCCACACTGACTGAGGCCTGAGTAACAACTCTGCATTACTCAGGCTCTAGCCCGTGTGGATTTTCCCGCCTACAATCTAAAAAGAAAGAATGGCATAAACACACATCAGACGCGCACGCACTCAAAGTTGGTCCAGAAGTCCAGTGTCCCCGACGTGTTTTTATATCGCTTTCAAAACGATACACTGACACCGCCAAGTGTTCCCCGCCCAGGAATTCGGTGACATTAAATAGTCTACTTTTTGTATCCCTTACTCCCTCCCTGTCTTGCGGCGCATTTTCTCAAAAGTGGTCTATGGTCCAGCAGTTGCAGCGTTGTTCTCGTGTCTTCTCGTTGGGTGTTGTATTTCACGCATGCACACAAAAGATGCTAATAATGAAGCTAAATAATCGTACTTATCAATTATTGGACTAATTTTATTGGACTAATTGTATCCACAAACCAATCCGACCATGAACTAAACTTTTTTTTTGTTTTTGTTTATACGTGGTGCAAAGTAATCCCGCCCCATATTTTTATGGCGTCAGAAACGAAGCAGCGTACGAAGAGTGCCCTTCAAACGACAATAATAATAATTATTAAAAACTGCCGGATCTCCGCTGGAGACTCCGAGGCACAGTGGAGTAGTCGTCACGATAAAAAATCTAAAGAAACAAAATAAATAGCCTTACGGTCGTCGGCTGCGTCATAAGGCCTCGCCAAGTGCGGAGTATAACGGTCTTGGCATACGGTATGTATTGTGCATTCGTTATTTTCTTTTCTTTTCTACCACGTCAAATTCTGACGCCAAGACTCTCTACCTCCTCCGTTCCAACGCGTTGTTTGTTATTAATTTAACACATCAGCTTCAAATAAGGGTCGTGGCACCCTGTAGAGTAAGAAAAAGAACAAAAAGGAATATTCCGAGCAGCCAGAGCAGCACGGCTGCTCTGGCCAGAGCAGCTCCTCTCATCAAAGAAGACGCCGTCCGAAACTCCAACGGCTCCCTTCTTATTTTTTTTTATTTTTATTTACTTTGTTACTTCATTTTGTTGTTGGGTTCGACTGCTCCCTTCTCCGTGACGATGCCGTCCGTAGACATACGTTTGGCTTTTTTTTTTTTTTTTTTTTTTTTTTTTTCTGTCACGCGATGGTGTGGTCCGACCGATCAACCAATGAGTTTGTTAGAATTGTGTCACGAGGTATAAAATGGCGGATGAAATAAATATAATAAATGCAAAGAAGCGCGCAGTTCCCCCTCGGCGCTTTGTTCTTCCAGAGGCGAGCATCGCAGTGCCATGGTGTTCAACTTGTGCCGTCTTCTTGGCGCCATGAAAGACCCTCTTGAAGCAATTAATTTGCTTTAGCGCGTTGGCCTGCTCCTGGCTCCTGGGTTTTCGTGCGTGTCCAGAGTGCGAAGCTGCGATGACAAGCTGCAAGTCCGCGCTAGATCTGCGGATGGCTACACGGGGGGGAAGGGGGGGGGGGGGGGGGGGGGGGTGCGGTGTGTGGATGATTCGTGAGGTGCCCAAGAGGAAGTCGGTCAAAGTTCAGTGCCGGGGCGAAGTCTCGATACGAAGCGGTTCCCTTTTCGAAGGATCGCACGCACCTGACGCTTCTCCAACTCATGAAAATCATCCTCCGGATGCCAGAACCTACCGTGCGCCGTCATTCAGCGGGAGGCTGATATCGCAAGTAAGACAATAACTGATTGGGCGAGCCTTTGTCGGGAGGTTGTGCTAAATACCGTCTTTAAGCATTCAGACATGATTGGTGGCGACGGCGTGACTGTAGAACCAGACGAGAGTATGTTCGGTCGGCACAAGTACCATCGCGGGTATTTAAGGCCTGGCCAGTGGGTTTTCGGCGGTGTGGCGCGCTGCAGCGGGTGCTGCTTTCTTGTTCCCGTGGAGACCCGTGACGCTAAAACCCTGCAAGGGCTAATAGCCGAGTTGGTCCACCCTGGAACAAGAATAATTACTGACTGTTGGGCTGGCTATCGCAAGCTTGCAGATGACGCTCGCTTCACGCACCTCACCGTCAACCATAAGCTTAACTTTGTCGACGCGAACACTGGTGCGCACACCAATACGGTGGATTGCACCTGGGCCCACGTCAAAAACTCTCTTCCATCTGGACGGCGCGAGAGCCACCATTTCACTGGTCACCTTGCAAAGTTCATGTTTTGGAGGAGAGACAAGGCGCGCGGAAACACTGATAGATTCCAGTCGTTCGTCGCCGCGGCCGCCAAAATCTAGAGCCCCGACGCAGACAGGGCGAGGATTCTGACGGCCCCGGTGATTTCGAGGGATCCGCTGCGCTGAGCCCGTCACCCGTCTGCGTGCATAAAGACGACTTATGCGCCAACCGCTTGTCAAGTGCTCGTTATGTCAGTTATAGGTTCTGGCAGCGGTCTAAACGGCCCTCCTGAGCAAATAAAACATTACATTACATTACATTTTCAGGGCCCCATATTTTGCAAACGGAGCTGTTTTTTGAATGCCGCACCCCGTGTCTCTGTAAAAAGTTCACAGGAAAGACCCAGCAAAGGTATGTGGTCCCCAACTTGGATATCGGGTGTTATGATTCAAATAAAAATTGTTCTTGCTTATTTCGCGCCTGTGATCAAAATAAATGCCGCCGTTGCAGTCGTCCCGCGGTGCTGTTGCTCGCCCATTCGCCGTCGGCGTGCCTCAGCTTCGTCGTCTTTGCTAGCGGCGCACCGGCGAAGGCGGCCTTTGATCCGAATAAATGCCGCCGTTGCAGTCGTCCCGTGGTGTTGTTGCTTGCTCGATCGCCGTCGGCGTGCCTCAGCTTCGTCGTCTTTGCTAGCGGCGCACCGGCGGAGGCGGTTGATCTGACACACCGCGTTCGGCTTTGGCTAGCAGACGGCGTTCGTAAAATGGCGTCAGCTGTTGCTAGCTTCACGCGGCGGTACCGTGCGTGCTTCTATTCATTCGGCGTTCGTTGCCATGGTGACGGCGAGGAAAGCAGACGAACTTTTTGATGCGGAAGAACGCTGCGGCGCAGCGATACCAGGTGCGTTCTAAGGCCCTTCCCGCATGCTTTTCAATGGGCGGAAGGCGAACAAAAAGAGTTCGAAATAAGGACTTAACGCAGAAGGCTGCATTTCTCCAGCGCCTCATAATTTGACGAGCCTTGCACGAAAAGCATGTTTTTAGACCGGAGTTTGGAGATAGTTTTTTTTACAACAACATGGGTCTAAAGTATCAATGTGCCCCGGATTCATCGCCAGGGGGCCACATTGGACGTATTCGGTTGCATACGAAAAACACGGTGAGCTCAGGCTCCCACCGGACCACAAGTCTTTAGACGTAACTTTATCATACGTTACTTTCTTTGTTTCGGTGTTATTCAGAACGCAGCCATGACAGCAGGCACAATAACGCAAACTATTCTGCACGCTGGGGAAATTCAATATAAAAAAGAGGAGAAAAATAAGATGCTGTTATCCTCGCGCCGATTTTCAAATTGCGGCGGGAGAACGCAACGCCATGATCAAATAAGGTAGCAAGATCGCCGCTGAAGAGACGGTCCTCGCCGGATGCTTGAAGCGGCCAAGACATGACCGCTTTTACTAAACCCAAGCAGGATCACCCCTGTTCATATTTCGTCATAGGTCTATCAATGTTCCTTATTATAATCACGTTGCCCTTCTCGCTCCTATTTTGCATCGTGATCGCCAACGAGTATCAACGAGTTGTCATCTTCCGACTCGGCCGCCTGGTATCCGGAGGAGCCAGAGGCCCTGGCCTCTTCTTTATAATTCCTTGCGTCGACCGCTACTGCGAAATAGACCTTCGTACCATTTCGATTGACGTCCCTGCACAAGAGATTCTTTCCAGGGACTCGGTCACTGTGACAGTGGACGCAGTTATTTACTATCGCATCGTCAACCCCATCGCGTCCGTCATGAACGTCGAGGACTACTTCGTGGCCACGAACCTGCTGGCCGCCGCCATGCTCAGGAATGTGCTGGGCACTAAGAACCTTTCGGACATCTTGTCCGATAGGGAATCCATATCGCAGATGATGCAGTCAGCCCTAGACGTCGCCACGGACCCGTGGGGCGTAAAGGTAGAGCGTGTCGAGATCAAGGACGTCCGCCTTCCACACCAGATGCAGAGGGCCATGGCTGCCGAAGCCGAGGCAGTTCGGGAAGGGAGGGCCAAGGTCGTGGCTGCCGAGGGCGAAGAACGGGCCGCCCTGGCGCTCAAAGAAGCTGCCGAGATCATCGCCCAAGCTCCAGCGGCTCTCCAGCTACGGTACCTTCAGACCCTTGCGAACATCGCGACCAACCACAACTCGACCACTGTGTTCCCGTTGCCCCTTGAGATGATGCGTGGCCTTTACTACAGTCATCCGTACGGTGAGCCAAAAAATCGCCAGGGATTTAGCGCCCCCAGTGTTAGAGGTCCTGTTGTGGCACCCAGTAGCGGGCGTGGACAACGAGGCAAGCAATTGCTTTGACAACATACTCGTATTTTCCTTCCCACTGGTGTCTTTCTTTTGGTTCGAATAAAGGTATGTTTTCAATTGTTCTGAGTCCCTCAATGTCTGAGAGTTCAATATCAGCTGTGTGTCCTTTAAAGGAGCAATGAAACGATCTCTCAACTTTTTCCTTCTTAGCTTTAATCCTCAACTCAAAATAGAATTGAGAAATCACGAGGTCTTGACATGCTTGGGCACTGGTGCGATGATTGTAATCTTCCACCCTGCTTTTTAAATGCACCATGGAACTTGTCATTCGAAAGTGATGATAAGTTTTGTCACAGCACTCATTGGCCACGGACGTGAATCCAAAAGTTCGTCGACGGATGGATTGTTGACGAGCGTATATACGTCCGAGTGACGCAGTTATCGTGTCCAATGCGTGAGCTGGGGTCGGCTGATGCGCTTCGGGTGCCGGTAACGTGCTTTGGGTACCGCGGATGTATCATAGTAAAAAGGCCGAAAGCTTTTCAAAGGAAAGGATATACGAAATGGGCTGCTATATTTTCAAACGTTCGTACCAAAAAGCTGGCTTTTGACTTTCAACCTTCTTTCATTTGGCCCACTAAACGATATCTGATTGGTGAAGTCTCCATTTAAAATCAATTATCCTAGCCCAGAATTTATTTCTTGGCCCGCTTAATAAAGTCTGAATGGTCAACGTCAAATGCCGGTGGCTAGAATGACTGGCATTTGAAACTTCAACTAAGGGCTGTTGTTTTTGTTGTTACCCTAGCAGTGGCTTGAATATTGCTCCCGAAAAGCGTAGGTGTTAACGTAATATTGTGGTAGTACAGACACGTCGAAAAGACTTCGAAAGAACGTCGATGGCGTCAGGAACCACATGTCGAAGGAACGTTGAAAGTTTGAATGTCAGGTGCCTTCGACGTAATATGGAAAGGCTAATGTCTAAAATAAAGGGTGGATTTTACGCCGACATAACGTCCCATTACGGGAAATCAAGTGATAATGTTATACCAACGTTGACAACGTTGTCGAGGGGGGGGGGGGGGGGTACCAGGCGTCCCAGTCAAGTTGGGGGGGGGGGGGGGGGTGTCACCTCTGGCAACACCCGGCCACCCCCTCCCCGGTTTACTGGTTGGTTGCGATCTCGGGAAGTGAATGGGCGGGGGGGGGGGGGGGGGGGGGGGGAGAGAGGCTACGAAAGACATGAGGACTCTGGGTGCCGGATGGCCTAGCCAAGTTACTGTATGGGACGCATATTCACGACTTTAGTAAAACGAACGGCACCTAGCGGGAAAGCACTGAACCGGCAGGAACAGGTCCCTTCGGGATTTCTGCTAGTCCCTTCTGGCTTCAGTGTTTCCATGTTGCCGGTGGTTTGCGCGACAGAACAGTTCCGCCGGTGACTGTGTCGTAACCGTAGTATCACCTTGTGACCCAGGTTGCTCTGCACGCGACCTATGTCACCGCGTGAGCCAGACATTCTGCGTTTCTCAACGTTTATCAGCACCGTGGAAGGACAGTGGGCAGTCATTTCCTCGTTTCCTCGAAGAAAGTCCAGCCTCTGGAAGTTCGCTTACCCCAACACATCGCCGCAGGTTCGAAACGCGGAAGATAAAACGCGGGGGAACCAATTTTGAGTCCAATGCTTACTTGCTGCTGCCCCAGCGTTGTGCGTTGAGCTGGCTCATGGCACGGCAGGACCTTGATTCGACCGCCATATTTGTCCGATACTGGCGTCCTCTATAGGTCACTGGAGTCGCGAATACTTGGCGGTTCCTCGGATTCCGGGCATGAGGACATTGAATAGGCCTTCAGTCTTTCAACGGGTATTCGTGCTGAATTTGTAACATCAAAATACCATCCCCCGGCCCATCTTTGCTGGGCCCATCACGTCCACAAAGCCACCAGAAAAGAGAAAGATGAAACGACGATTGCCCGGACATATTTAGGCAGTTTCTCCAGTAACGGGTTCGTTTCTCCAGTAACGCACTCCTTAGATGCATAGGCGACTAACGTGTAAAACATTTTCGTTAATATTTCGAGGTATCGTTTATCAAGCTACGTTTCTCTTTACTTTTGATGAATAGCTTTCTCGTTGTAGATTAAAAACTAACTTAAACTAACTTATTCGCAATTTTTTTTTTCCTTTTTCGAGGCCTCGATTAGAAGTGCTTTAGCGAGAACGCTTCCACGGGGGTGCCCTAAAAAAGTCGCCTTGGGCATGATATGGTCTAACTTCTAACAAGATGGCTCTCACTTTCCTTGAAGTGTACTGCCGCCTTACTACGAAAACGCAGACGTCACATCCGTCCAGAACGCGACAATCCGTCGTCCATCGAAGGAAATATTTTACAAAAAATAACGGTAACGGCTTTTTGTTGCGCTTTCGGGACAGAACGAACCTCAGTAACGCGTCAATTTTTTGACGAACAAACGAGTGACCCTATTTCGTTCCTAATTATCGGTAACGGGCACAACACCGCATTTCAGGCACATGGCCCCAAGCAAGCTATTCTGCATTCGCGAAAAGGACTTCAGTCCACCGATGCCATAAGATATCAGCGTTGAATAAATTCAGATCCGATGTTCAGTGTACATGTTTTCGTACATGCACGTTTTCCCTTCCCAAAAATTGTTTTCTGCGCGCTGCCATCTTTGTCTGCTGGGCTGTGGAACGCCTTTCGAGCATGCGCTGTTGCTCTGTTGTCCGGTATATCAGACGCTGCGCATCCGTTCACAGCTCAGTGACTTAGTATTTTTCGCCCGCGTGAAACGCTCTGAATTTCGGCAAGAACCTGCCAGATGGCAAAGCCGCAGTGCTCAATGAAAAGGGGAAAACGCGGGGCAAAGATTGGTTGGGACTGCTGCTTCATCGTTTGGACTCGTGTCCTAACGATGTTTAGCACGAGTTTCTGCCCAGAGATGACGCGGTACCCGTGACCAATACGTGACCCACGTTTGTTTCTTTTATGGAAAGCCCAAGATCTACATAGGAGGTGTTGCCTCGGTTCTGTCCACGCGGAAGCGAGATAATTGGGGGTTTCACAATTGGGGGCTTCCGGTTTCCCAAACAGATCGGGGCGCCGCACTGCGCTTGCTCTGTGCTACACCTTAAGCTACTGGGGCCCCACGCGTTGGGACGCCCTATTCGAAAACTTCCGCGCTGCAGTGGCGGGACGGCGGCTTGTGAAGCGACGGAAGGATAGAAATGCTCACAGTGCGGTGGAAGCTACGCTTTCGCCGGAGCAATCAACATCCTCTTCATCGCGTGACACCCCTCGATGCATTTTCGTTTGCGCGCTAGTGTGATCACGTGACAAAGGATAGACGCGTCCAACGAGCACCTACAACTTCCGCCGCACTGTCAGCTCAGGGGTAAAGGGAGAACAGGGGTGATGCCTCCCGCTCGTGTTTCCTGCCGGCCGGGAAAATCCCTTGACCGTGGCCCGCTGCTGCCTAACCAACTTCTCACGCCCCGTGGACGATAAATTAGGGCTCCCGTCTCGGCCACCACGGGCGGATCTGCGAGGAGCGCTGGTAGCTCTCCCGTGCAATGTTTGCCGTGCAAGTGGAGATACGAGGAACGCTCTGGCGAGAGCGGTTCAGCGATTTCGCGGACACAGTATACAAGAAGACACGTGCACGTTACCGTCCAAAAAGTAACTAAACACCGTTACTGTTTACTCACTCAAGAAGTAACTAAAACGTTACTCGTATTTTAGATTCGAAAGGAACGAGCTACCTACTTGTGCTCAAAAGTAAAGGGGTTACTTTCTCGTTACGCTGATTTTGTCGTAGTTTTTCTGTTTTTTTTTTACGTACTATCAACCATTCGATGTCACTGTCGATAAGAATGCTTCGCTTCTTAAACCCATTCACAGGAATAGTGCTGGTAGTGATATATGTGAATATGCTGTCATACTTTCTGATCCTTTTTTTAATGTCTCTATGGCGCTTACTTTTCATAAAAGTCACAGTCGCCAGCTGGGGTAAAAACCAAATTGGGTAATGTGGAGTGTACAGGTTGTCCTCCAGGTGTAACTGAGTACCATTATTCGCTACTCCCTAAAAAATACCGAAAATGCGTTACATGTTCTCCTTTTTAAAATACAAAAAAGAAAACGTAACCAGATACAAGTAACGCGTTTTCGTGACACGTTACGTAAGTACAAATATAGCTGGAAGCAGCGCCACCTTGCGCTCGAAGTACAGAAAAGAATAAAGTGCTAACAGAAGCGGGCAGGTTGAACATCTCAACCCCCCTGCAGAGATACTGTCCAAACCCCCTGCTATCTTTTTTTTTTTTTTTTTTTTTAGTTTTTTGCCAGCTACATTTTATTTTAGAACCTAATTTCCGAATAACGAACTGGTGCCTGCCACTTGGACGCTGCTGCCCTTACAGATGCTACCATGTTGATAGTGACACGTGAAACCACGAAGCGTGGGACCGCTCCCGGCATCTGGGAGAAGCGATCCCTTGCTCGCCTATAGCATAGCCGGTGTTTATGTACACCTGAACCCTGTCGTCAAAGCGAGTGTAGTGGCACGTCCGTCGGCGCAGAACGGTAGATGCTATTATCACGCTAGACACAAAAGAATTCGCCTCGCCGCACGAACCTGGAATCCGTGGTGATTGAAAAGGGCACATCTCATTTCGCACGATCATCCGCCGGTGATTATTCCTGGAGCCTGTTGACCCTCGCGTCCCTTTTTGCTCCCTCGTTCTGCTTCGTGCAACAATGGTAGGTCGTGGCGTTAACGCCGGCCACGTGGAGGGCCTAGATTTGAGATGGTCTCAACTTATGGAGAACGTTCGGGATTTAATGGCCTCCTGCGCAGATTTGCCGCAAGTGCGCATACGTTGCGTCGTCGCGCGGCAAGGAGGGAAGTATGCACTCGCATAATTGACCCTTATCAAATGTGCGCGCCATTCTAGTAGCTGCTGCGCCAATTACCCGAATCCGCCATTGTTTGGGCGCGTACTCTGAGCGTGTATTGGACACGATGGCCGC